AGTTTCATTTTATATAAGAGTTAAATTGATAAAATCTTGTCTGTAAAGTGGGACCCTCTAATGAACAAGTTAAGAAAGTTTTTCTGCAATAGTTTATCTAACTATATGATGGACAAAGCCAGGCCAGTCCAGTTCAAAAGTAACTCAAGTTGTGGCGACGTCAATATACGACAACATTATACATGTAATCTTGGGCGCGACTCGGAAAGAGACGTGATGACATAAAAGACTCTGATGCAATCCGAATAGCTTTAGTCCGATTTGGGGAGGAGCGAGTTTGGAAGGGACGATTTAGGAAGGGGGCTATTTGGGAAGTGGCGATATGGGATTAACCAATCTTGGGCTAGCATGGTCATCCTGTAACAAATTCTCTCTCTCCCCTACCCCTTTCCCTCCACCCCCAACCCACTTCACCCACCATACAAACTCCGTACCCTGTCTCTCATGTCGTGACGTGACGTTTCTGCACGACATACTTTAGTAGATTCGTCACGGCTATTAACTGACCAATACTTCAGGTGTGTTGAGGTTTATCTTACAACGTATACACTAGTGGGTCACTGACTACTGGGGTGTGTTTCACTGCTGCCCATAATAATCCTTTATAAAATATTATTTTTAAATATGTAATTGTGCTAAGAACCTTATAAAGTGGTTTCACATTGAACTTATAGTAGAGACGTTTAGCATAACGATAATTGTAAATCGGTGTTTTAAATCTCGTCTGTAATTAATTTAAACGTTAGCTCTTCCACCCAAGGAAATATTCCAGATTTTCAGTCCATTCTGCATTATGTCCTACAGATAACCTCAATTTGAAGGAGTGTATGCCTCTAACGTTTACGTTTTCGTTCAACGCAACGTCAAACGTCCCTTTCGTATTATGTTAATAGTTGCAGGTTTGTTAAGTGGGTGATATCAGATTATGTTGAATTAACGACGATATGTAAGAACACGTAAAACAAATGATATTAACGTTCAGGTCATCTTATAGTCTGAAATACGGAAGAAGACAATATAATCAATATAGTGTAATATGTAGCATATATGATGTAATACACACCCGCTTGAACATTATATAATGTTATATTGGAATTTACCTGTCAAAATAGATATAATAGGCTGGAATAGAGGTAGATGTTTCGGTCTATTTGGGAGCCATTTGTGATCATCGATACAAGTAATGGACCACAAAAATGCGAAATAAGCGCCCATACGATACAAAATACTTTTTGCTCAGTCAAGGATAATAACTCAAAAACTCTTGAAATCTAATATACACTTTCAGTTTTGACGTTTGGCGGCTAAGTCAAGGGAAATAACCCGAAAATCGAGCCAGACTAGTCAGTAGAAACTTCGATATACCTCCACATTATAATCTAGGCAAAACATAAAGCTTATTCCAAGTAATACCTTTCATATGTAATCTAGAGTTAAACATCGAAATCTGAAGGTATCATCTCGACCTATGCTGGGATTGAACCCTGGACCTTCGGGCTAGAGAGCATGCGTCTGACTCACTGAGCCACCGCGACTCCCTTGTAATCATTGGAAAAAATGAAATTACGAATAATGCTTGGAATTTCCCCAATATCCAACTATTTCATTTCATAATGTAATCTAAAGCAGCACCTACTCTATCTGTTCGACCAATCATACCTTAGTTTCATAACAGGAATTGTTTTAGCTCACATAATCAGTAATAGTGTTCACAGCTCATCCTCGAAATTTGAGCTTTCAAATCCATGTGTATCCATAATTATTCACGTTTGAAAGTTAAAAATTCCGATGCCATACATATATAAAAAAATACACATATATAGGAATAGACAGTGAAATTTCTAGTTGGAGGTATATTTGAAGGGATTATGCGATTTTAGTACTTCTTAAGACTATTAAAGCACAATAAAGACCATAAATCAATCCCCGAAAATGCCGACTGTTCCCCTTTAAACTTCTTATTGTCCTCCATACACGCACAAAGTTTTTTTTTAAACAATATTTATTCCTAAATTTCAAATAAAACATTACATAATATAAAAGCCATGGTTTCAGAAACAAGCCGGAGCTTATATTTAATACCATTTAAAACAATTTTCAAATTTATAAAAACATGTTTTATGTAATATTTGATTAAAATTGGATAAGAAAGTGTTCTGCATTTTTTTTTTTTTTTGTATTAATCTTAAAGCTCCATCGCGAAGTATACAATACGGAAAAAAATGAGACATTTTTACCAATAGTACAAGATTGAATGCACCATTTCACTTTTGTTGATTACATTATATTCAAATGTAAACAAGTTATTCAAAAGGATCCATTACTACGTTTATACTGACTATAATGAATGAATACAGTTGCCTCATACTATGCAAATAACGTGCATTAAATAAATATATTGCAAAATCATTATATTGAAATCATACCAAGTGCGCAAATAACAAAATATGCGATTTATTATTATAATGAGGTTTCTAAAGAATAAAATACATTATAAAGCTCGAGCCTAGGTCATGAAGCCAGAACAATATATGTATATTCTTTTAAAAAAATAATTATTTCATTATGATTCCGCTGAATATATTTCTAATGTCTATCGTAAGGGTGGCTTACTGAAAGCATCGCGATGAAAGACCTAACTGACTCTAAAGACGATAGGATTTTCGTCGTATATGTTCTGTTAAATATAGTTAATATATTAAAATTAGGAATCGGTATTAAATTGTTATAATGATGGTTTTATAAGAATACGCCTTCAAAACAAGTACAGATATATTTTGATACATTCGACCAAATATTTTACTAATTATACCACCGGTTACATCTCACTTTCACCTACCGGTACACTTGGTAGAATGAAACCCCCTGACAAGATCTCCGGCAATTCAACACAATCGTGTCATTGAAGCTTAGCTTTTACAAATATTAAAAATTATATTTTTAAGACTAAATGTGAAATAACTAATAGAGAAAACCTTCAGTAAATGTGCATCTAGATTTTCTGATATATTTTGAATATCTCTATTCTAAGACACGCAACTAAGCTGGCGTTACAACTTTTATATTCGATTGTTTGGAAAAAATTTGACAAAATGAAATTACGAACAATGCTTAAAATTTCCACAATATCTATGGATTTCTAAAAAAAAGTGTTGAAGATCATTACTACATCGAAAGACAATTATTTTTAAGAATCTACATAAATATATTTCAAAATGTGTAACTTTTTAAAAACACAAAATATTGATTCGTGATTTGTATACTATAATCTTTCAAAACAAGGAATTAAATTTGATGCAAATCTAACACTTAACCTGATTTTGTGTTCACTACAAATCTGGAACCAATCATTACACTTTCAACCCTGAAGCCAGTTTACAAATTCAATCTTGCTGTAAAAATTCCTTGATTAAGGCTAGCTGATACAGCAATCCTGATGAGAGTTCTAATCAGAAAGGGAGATAATCTCCATACAGTCGTTAAATCAGAAAGGGAGTTAATCTTACTTGCCTAATCCAATCATTACAGATGTTGACTAACTAATTAGTAAACAAAAGAATTTCTCGCCGATTTGATTAGTTATCCAAACCCATGGCTTCAGTTTTAATATTTTTTACATCTGAACCTGCAAATCTGATTGATTTAACAAAGAGAGGCAATCAAGATTTTAAAACACCATTGTTTTAGGGTGTAATTGTGTGTATGAACACTGTTCCTCGATTAACGAAATAATTACTCAGCCATGCCAGAGAATTCTGGTATATATACCTTCAAAAACTGACAGAAATCAAATCACTTCGATTCTCAATCTGACAGCAACACAACACAAGAAGCAAAAAAAAGAATTTGAATTGTTCATAGAAAGAGACATGGCTTCAGAAACGGTAAACACTTTAATCATTTAGCTGAAGTTAACCTTCAATATTTGAGGATTTGAAGGCTACTGATACTTTTATTCCAAAGCAACGTTTTTCAATGCTAACACTTAATCGCAATACTAAATTTTTGCCTACTAAAGTATTAAGCCTACATATTTTCGTTTTTCTATTTTAGGCCTACGCAGCATTGGCTCAATCCTTACCAATCCCAAAGATGTACGGTCATCACAGTCCAGGTTCCAGTTCATCAGACGAAAGTCCAAACAGCCACAGTAGCAGCATCAATACAACGCCTTCCTCTGGTTTCATGCAGCCGTGGTTGAACACAGTCCGCCAGTCTCCCAATACAAGCGACGGTACACAAGGCCCAACACCTCCGTCTTCAGCGTCTTTGATGCAGCCAGGGATGAACATGATGCACCCAATCTATATGTACTCATCACCATATTTCCACCAGTATCCACACAATATGATGTACCCTTACTCATCTCTGCTCCAATCCCAGAACACACCTAGTGCTAACCAACAATCCGAAAGACCATCCGAACCAAAAGAAGCAGCGTCATCACCAGAAAGCCACCCAACCAAAATCACACCATTTGCCCCGATTCCAACCATCCCACAACCTCATACGTACTCTCATCTGACCACCACACCAGTCCATCAGCAACTACCAAGAAGCGATAGAAGAAATTCTTTATCTTCTGAATGTTCCGGTTCTCCTTCTGATACAAGCGTCAACAGAACAGGTACGTTGACATTTTTTGATTGTTATTAGCTAAATAACAACATCAAAGAATGTTGGGCGATTTCGTTATCATGAGCCAAGAATTAAATCTACAAGAAAGGGCATCGAAATGATGATTGTTATGAATTTTATAAGAAGATCCCATTTCACTAGAACCCACTCTCATAACATTGTTGTTTTGCTCTTTTTCAGATGTTTCAGTCGATGGGCTAACCAGTGATTCAGATTTATCACGAACTGTCGATTCCGGTAACAGTTCCCTTGGCTCTGATTTGTCTACGTCCATCTCACCTAAACCAGATCCAGTGGTAAAACCGAAACCGGTTGAGAAACCAGAACCTGTTACTAAAGTAACGCCAGAACCATTATACAAGAAGAAAGCCCGAACCAATTACACACCGGAACAAGTTCGAGGCCTCGAAAAGGTATTCCTGGAAACACCCTACCCAGAACCAGAAGCCATGGAAAAACTCTCAAAAGAACTTGAAATCCCAGAACAGAAATTAAAGGTAAGAAACTCATCTGATCAATATTTTGTCGTGGTAACTTGAAAAAGAAGTCCCAGTGTTGTACGAAATATTGACGATTTGATGAAACTACAAAAATTTCACAGTTCAATAAATCATCGAATCTATAAAATTATTCATAAGTTTTAATATTCTGGTCTCTTTATTTTAGGTCTGGTTCCAAAACAAACGTGCTCGATGGAGGCGACGAGTCCAAGACAATAAACACATGGCTGCAACAGTTCCACAAGTCTACATGCCACCAATGATGTCGCCTTATGGTTTCATTCCAACGCCTACAATGGCACCAGCTAATCCTATGATGCCTGGTTCCTACTATGCCTACCAACAAGCAGCCGCGGCTAATTCCTTCTCTAACTCGCCGATACAGAAATATGGGTTCCCTTGCATGTATTAAGAAGATCTTCCATATCAAGACGTTCGCAGGATCGAGCTCGGAACCCTAAGGGTATCTGATTATCCATGACACATGGGATGATGGGTAAGGACGAGACATCGTTACTGCCTTTGGGAAAGAGTGTTATTAGCACGTGAAAGAGACATTAGACGCTAATGCAGTGAACTTCCCCATGGGAATATCGTAAGGGTGGTCTCGACGTCCGATGTGAACTACCCGTGAAATGCTTATTTATGACCCCATTGGTGCAACCCTTTGTTATTTTAGTGTATATAATGAACATTTGTGGCTATTAATTGGTGCAACTGCTGTTATTGTACGTGAACAAACTTGACATTTTGTGGCTATTTTGGTGTAATCCAGGTTATTTATTGTGTATGTGTTTGTATATGAAAATGACATTTCGTGGCTTATTTTGGTGCAGCCCCTTGTTATTTATTGTGCTTATTTATATAATATATATAATGTATTCTGTGTATATATGTAAATAGTATCCATGGCTGGTTTGAAATAAGATTTCATCAGCGAAATAAAATTATAAATGCTAAATTTATCTTGTTTTTTTACTGTTTATGGTACGGTTAATGATTCTGCGTCACTTGGTGATTTATGGTTGTCATAATCGACAAATCAAAAAATTAAACCCTTTTAGATCTTGTTTCATTCTCTTCGAAGCGCCTTCCATAAAAGGTTATTTGTGTTTCCCCAGTGATTGTTCCACCGCTCTTCGTACACATAAAGTTATAGTCTTTATTTAAAACGCTATAGTGAATGCCACCAGGAGCTATCATCCAATACCAATTGACTTGATTCCAGTCCAATAATCATTTCATTAGGTCTGTAGCCTACTACTTTGCACTGCTGTGGTCTGTAGTCAAGTTTATTAACAGGAGTTACGAAGACTCGTAAAACGTCAAATAAAACAGTTTACAAACGGGTACGGTCACATTTATGTAGTCTGTAGTCAACATTTATTAACAAGAGTTATCTTTCCATTGTGGGAAGTTTAACTAAGAGTTGTAAATAATGTCAAATAAAAAGCTAAAAAGGACTAACCTATCGTCTAATATCCTAGAAAAACTTATCAAGAATAATATTCATACATGTAAAGTAAGTAGCTTGGTTGGTTGTCATTTTCTTAGTATTTATATTGAAAGAAATAACAAAAAAAACTTTGAAATAATGGTGTCTGTGTTTTGTCAACTTCCAACCCGTTTCGTTTTATTTCAGGATTTGTTGTCGTGTAGTGAATTGGAAGTTATTAAGATCTTGTCATCTGGAAGACAGACTGCTAATGATGTTGTAGTTAAATGCAGTGAGGCATGCTGCCCTAAATCTATAACTGTAAGTAGCAGTGTTTTGTCTGTGAATCTTGAAATGGAAAGGGAGGAGGGGTGTGACACAAAAGTGCTAAAAGGGGGCCTTAAACATTTCATACATACACTTATGTTTTAACATGACGAGTTATCTGTCTAGATCATCAATACAAAGGAATGGGCCATGATTGGCCCTGAAACTTTAAACATGGAAATATTTCCACTTAGTAACCTCATAGAGTGATGTTTGTAGTAAATCACATAATATCAGACTGTGCATGTATGCTCTGATCACGAATGATTCAGTACTAGTAAATGATAAATTGAATTTAATTTATTCCTGCAGGCATTTGATTTATGGAAAAGTCGATGTGAAAGTGCCAATGGTTATTTTGCTACTTCATTAAAAGATCTAGATTTAGTTTTACATGGTGGTCTACCTACTGGCACCATTACAGAGGTTAGTCAAGTATTTTGTGTTTATTTCTTATCTTGAGATTGGTTAATTAAGTAATATGTAGTTAAAATCACAAAAGCACAGGATGAGGAGAAAATTCAGTTAATCAATTTATTATTGTTATATGTAGAGAAAAACACCATTGATATATAATTTAATTTTCTGGAGGAAAGTGTGTTAATTTCAAATTCAAAAATAAGCAAACCTTGCATATTAATTAAGGACCAGCAGACATCTAAGAAAAATGGCACATAATTGAAAATTTTGATCTGAATTATTGTCAAATGAGAGAAAAAAAAAATTAAATTTCGAGCTCACTGTGAAGAAAAAATAATTAGATAATTAAGTAATGATATGTCAGTTATTTTGTATGGTATAAGTCAAGTTCTGAATAGTAGTTACTGCTTTGTTTTGTTTCGTATTTTGATTAGCTTTAATTAAGTTCACATACCTAGAGTTAACTCAGAATCAGTTCAGTCAACTTCTCAAGCAAGATTTGAATCTCCTTTCCCAGTTGAATCTTCTCTCCCATTGGACAAATAATCTGTGAACACTGTTTTAACTTGTTTTTGGTTGTTATTAAAATTTGTTCATCAGTTTGTAATTTTGAAATGGCTTAGCAACAACTTCTTGGTTTGTTTTCTGCCTTTATTCCTTGAGTCAAGTTTGTAAATATGTTGGACTTTGCAATTTCTTTCTTTTTGGAAGTCTAAATTTTATTTTTGTCCATGCAAAACTTAGAAATGGAGCCTGAATTCCTTGTTCTTCATAGAAGCTATTTTTTTGTGATTTTTTGGGGTGAAATTTATCTTCCATCAAAATATAAGAAATAAGTTTATGTCAGGAAAAATAGAAATCTATAAATTCTCATCCCTGATAAAGGTCATGAAGATAAAATCACCCCTCCCTAAAAAAAAGAAAATGATTTCTCAGTATATCAATTCATCCTATACTTGATGTCCTAAGGAAATTTCTAATTCTCAGACATTTAAGCTTCTCTGTTGATTATGTCTGGAAATTAGAGTCAAATCAACATCCCTGATGCTCATCAATTTATGATTTTCATCATGTTTTCAGATTGCAGGACCATCAGGCTGTGGTAAAACTCAGTTTAGTATAATGTTAAGTGTATTGGCCAGTCTACCTACAGACTACAATGGTTTACAAGGTGCTGTGCTGTATATTGATACAGAAGGGGCTTTTAGTGCTCAGAGGTAAGCATTTTCTTGATATTATGTACGCAGTCAAATAGCTCAGTCAGTAGTGAGATTGATTTTTGTTTGCTAGTCAAAAGATTATAATGTGAAAAACCAAGCCTCTTGCCTTGAAATCGCTCACACATTGTTGCTAAATTTTTCAGCTGTGAAGGGTGTTTGGTTTTGAAAAATGTGCAACGAATTTAATAATACGACACACTGTGCAAAAATGACAAAATGGAAGAACAGTACAGCAGAAAATAATACAAATGATATTTCTAGTAACTTATTGTTGATAGGTTACCTGTTATCATATTTAGGTACAGAGGTTCAAATTGCTAGTTATGTATTTGTGGTACATTAATTAGAGTTTTCTCCCTTGCACCATAGGCTAATATTGTATATTATATTTTCTCAGACTAGTTGAGATTGGTACCAATAAATTCCCTGATTATTTTACCAATGAAGAGAAAGTGAAAGAACTGTCTGAAAGTGTCCATGTTAACGTGATACAAACTTGTAGCCAGTTGTTAAAAAGGTAGTTCATCATGTTTCTTTCATTATGTAGCATTCTGGGATACTCAGTATTTGCCTACATCAGTGAGTTGTTAAAAGCTGTATCAGTCAGTTTGAGAGTGTAAACTTTATAACATGGTCTCTTTATGATACCACAATTATGAAGTTTAAAGCAAAAATTTCCCTCATTGCACACTACATGGAGATGTCCGTCTTCGTTAGCCTTATTTAGAGCAAGAAAATAGGACATAAAACACTTCATTTTACTTCGTCTTCAATAAATTTGATCAAATCTGTAAATGGTGATTTTTATGGTTGTTTGTACATAGTATATTAATGTGTTACCAATATTAGGGCTTAGAACCTACAGTGGTGAAGCCAAAGGGGGGGCAAAGGGATTACCCGTCCCCCCTCACAGCCCTGAAGGCATTTTCGGGCAAAAATCTCATAACTAGGTTAGAAATATGGTATTTCGCCTCCTCTCAGACGTAAAAATGGTTCCGCCACTGAGAACCTATAGAAGAAAACTTAACCCTATTTGACCTAAATGGTTTAAAACTATATGTTATACTTCATTTAGTAAGTATCCAATATCTATTTTTCATTACAGGTTAGAGAATTTGGAAGAAGAAATAATAGAGAAGAATATTAAACTGATTATAATAGATTCTATAGCTTCGTTAGTTCGTAAAGAATATAGTACCACCCTGGGGCGTAATCTTACAGAACGGACAAACCTACTAGCTAAACAGGCTGCCATCTTGAAATATATAGCAGAAGTCTTCTTAATACCAGTAAGTACCCATTTATAATGTGTTTGCTAATTTATCAATAGTGAAAATTGGCTAGCTGTTCAATTAAAGGCTAGCAACCTACATTTTGGTATAGACTGCGATATCAGCTTTAGCTTATGGCGAATGTCTTCTGCTTCTCACATACCTACCAACCTGCATCCTTTGTTACACTACATGGATAGAAAAATGAAATAAATGGAGTTTTACATCCCATTCTTCTGCACCATGGATGGGAAGGTTTATCATTATATATAGGAATATAATGTGATGAAATTTTAAAACAAATTAATTACGGTACAACCTGGTATGAAATAGTCTCAAGTTGTAAAATAAATGATGTTTATTAATTATCAGTAGACTAATCAAAATATCATACTTGACTCAGGAATTTAACTTTACTTTGGTTATCAGTTGTTAAACACAAGTCAATGAATCAAATATTGTGATTGACTCATGATTTGCAGTTATTACACCTTGATAACTGTCTGTTTGGTGTCTACTACTTGTTAAC